CATGCATGCATGCATGCATACGTACATACACCACATATGTATAAATATACATATACATATCTGTATATATAAGTACATATATACATAGATACATACATAAACACATATCAATACATACGTGTGTGCGCTTGCACGCAAACGTTGCATGTTTGAGGGCCATCAGGAAGGGCGGACGCCTTTGCACAATTGCAAAATGTGGAGTGCCCCCAAACTATTTGTCTCCCTTGTGAGGGCATCCTGTGCAACGAGGAAGGGCGTCTATCAGATTTTAGGCGGGAGCAGGCGCCCCAACCCTAAACCCTAGGAAAAACACCAATCATTCCTACAGCCACTGGGCTGGACCAGTTACCGTCTCTGCCCACCTTCAATGCCAACACCAACTGCAAATACAGCATCAGCTGAGAAGTAATAGCAGCACTAGCAACAAGAGGAGGAGGAGCAGCTGCTGCTGCGCCATCCTTCTCCTGCCTCCTTTTCTGCTACTACTCCACTCCTGCTCCTCCTTCTGCTGTTGCTATGATGATAATGATAAGGGGAGGGCTATACTGCTATTGTTGCTACTCTAGTGCTAGAGGCGGATGAGGCTAACATCCATTGTTGAAGTCGCTCCGTTCAGTTTCGACAGTTTACTCAGGTTACTCAAACCAGGCAGCCATATTACGCAGTAGTGTTCTCTGTGAGTCTCTATGCTCGTAATTATGGGTACTATAGCCCACAAGGCAAGCTAAATCCCACAACAGGAAAGATTCAACACCTTTGCAGGCACGGTGCACGCCGGAACTGCCCAGTAAAGTGCCGGGTTTCCGAATTTCGGAATTCCCGAACCTTCGCTTAGCACTTGCACGCTCATGAATGGGGACGAGAACGCTCTCTTGGGACACACATTTGGAGACAAATTTTCATTTGGAAGCGGGTGATAGTCTCAAGTTGTGCTGTCTAATTTGCCCAACTGTTCCGGAAACCATGCCCCCAAGGCTCCTTAAATCGTTGGGTGGGTGGCTTGTTCTGGGTTACCATCTGTTCCGAGGGGCTGGGGATTCATGCACCTCGCCACAGTACCTGCTCATTGGGTAAATAAAGGCATCACTACGTAAAGTATTTACGAGCAGGGCTCGCGGCAAGAATGGCAATTGTTCCTTCTCAAATATCAACGATCTAACTTCCCAACCCCAGACACGAAGCAGCACCGGGGCTACATCGCAGCTTCAATGCAGCCAAGCTGCTGATCCACTGTTTTCACAGTGCCCTCAATAAGAATGAACCTGAGATGCTGCTGGATCCTGTTGGATCTTCGGAACCGTCCTAATCTTCGCTGCTTCTCAAACCCGTTCATGACAAGAATGTGCCAGACTACACACGATTTTGCTCTTAGCGGTGAGATCGACCTAGAGTCAAGGAACATCCATTCGCCAACCTCGCCCTCACGGAGGATGGTATCTCCGGCAGCAAAATTTTGAACAGAGCAGGCAGTGGCAAGGACGCTCTTCTCCTCCTTCGACATGTGTCGATAGTTCGGATCTGCCTCAAAGAACTCTAACCTTGGATCAAGGCTTCAAGCTGCTAGACCCATTTATAGGGGTTATATAGGGAGAGTGGAAGAGAAAGAAAGTGGAAACTATAGGGATTACATTATATATATATATACACACCCTAATATACTGTAGTAGATTCCATCTTATTTTCCACTATCCCAATAGTACCATATATTATACCCTAATATACTATAGTATCATGTGCTGCATATATAACCTTCCCGCACATCTATCGAAATGTCATTCGGAACTCCACAGTAGCTTCCATTGTCTCTTCCATTCCTTCCGTCAGTCACCATGGTTCTGAGATTGGCCCTGAGTCATTTGAAGCCCAGCCGCGCTTTCTTCATGCTCTTGGAGCTCAATTGCTGCATGCAAACCTCACATGGGGCTGCAAATTCTTACGGGTAAGGATGCTGGAAGAGTCGAGGCGGGCTAGCTCAGGGTCTAGGATCTAGGGTTTATCAACAAGTTTTACTGTTCATCGTTTCCGTTCAGCAGAAGTTATAAGCCCCATTCACCACGCATCCTATCTAAACCCTATCTATACATATATTTACACATGTACCTGGATATCCCCTGTATATGCATGTAGAGTCCCCTATGTGTGTCTATATATGTATCTATATGTATATATATATATATGTATATCATACCCGGCAAAATTTGCTTGAGCATGTGGCTCTGAATTGGTCCGCGTCCATCTTCCACAGAACGCCCTTCTCTTTGCAGGTGACTGTGGCTGTTCTGGGCCTGAGACCAGGGGCTTAGGCTTTCGAAATTAGCGGTTAGGATTTAGGGTTTACGATTCAGGGTTTAAGGTTAAGGGTTCAAGGTGGGTTTAGGAATTAAGGTTTAAGATTCAGGGTTTAAGGTTACCGGTTCAAGGTTTAGTGTTAGGGCTGTAGGATTTAGGGTTTAAGATTCAGGGTTTAAGCTTAAGGGTTCAAGGGGGGCTTAGGATTTAAGGTTTAAGATTCAGGGTTTAAGGTTACCGGTTCAAGGTTTAGGGTTAGGGGTGTAGGATTTAGGGTTTAAGATTCAGGGTTTAAGCTTAAGGGTTCAAGGGGGGTTTAGGATTTAAGGTTTAAGATTCAGGGTTTGGGGTTAAGGTTCAAGGTGAACGGTTGGAAAAAGGTTAAGGGTTAGGGGTTTAGGATTTAGGGTTTAAGCTGTAGGCGTTTAAGGTTTAGGTTTCAAGGCTTCAGGTTTGCGGTTTAGGATTATAGTCCCCCTTCTATAAGTAGATAGAATATATTTGGTATATTAGCATCTTATTATAATATACCCAAAGCCATATTCTATCTACTTAAGGGGGCTATAAGAGTTGAAGGTTTAGGGTTGAAGGGTTCATGGTCAGCGCTGCAAGCCCCACACCCAAAGCTCCCACTGTCCATATGAAATCTGCATGTAAGACCCTGCGCAACCACAAGGGTTATTCTCACACTTATGGGCCTCTTTTGGTTATAGGTTATATCACGGCACCTAATATTAAGGGATACCAAAATGGGACCCTAATCTTGGGAAATACCCGCAAGCCCTAAACTCCCCCAACCTTCTGCAATTCCAAAAGAGTTGGCGCGTGCCTAAGTGAAGGCCCCTTCTTGACCTCAACACTCCTAAAACAAAAGAGAATCATCACCAATGGAGGAACACACTTCCAAAGGCACCCGGCTTGACACTTGGCACACATGCCTTAAAACCTAAGCCCTCTAAACCCTAAACCCTTAGAGCTGGCAAATCGCACGCTGTACAGCATCGCCAGCTCTCCGAAGCTGTGCTTTGCTCGAAGCTGGCGCACAGCGGTTGTGCCAACACAGACCTGCACACTACTGGGTTGCTGTTAAGGAACTCAAATTAAGTTACCATAATGGGTTTAGGGTCTAGTGTTTAGGGTTACCATAATGGGTATATATAGTAAATCATAGGGTTTCCCCAATATAGTAACTTAATTTGAGTTGCTTAACAGCAACCCAGACTACGCAAGGGCTCCTATGTCGTTCCCTTTTGGGTTTATCATGGCTTTGGCAAGGGGTTATGATAATCAGTATCACCCAAAAGCGAACGACAAAGGAACTACAAAAGAGGTTCTGGGTAGACTGGTACACCTGTCGGCTTATGCTTCAGAACTTAAGGTCTGGGGTTCAAGATCTAGGTTGTATGAGGTTTAGGGTTTAGAGCTCTCCTCCCCCATCCTAGCATGGAAGGCCACGCGAAAACCCCATTTCATGGGGGCATCGCAGAAGTTGGGGAGGTCCCTGGATGAACATCTTTAGAGCCATGTAAGGGGACCGTGATTGTGGCACATAATTAGGTGGTGGGGAAAAAGAGTGTGGGGACACGACCTATAGGCGAGAGAGCGTGAAACGAGCCTCTTAAGCGGGCACGTCAGGAGAATTATCGTCACTGTGCGAGAAAATTCGCCTAGCCGAGCAGTCCGCAACTGTCCTCCATGCCAGATACTGAGGCGTGTTGAATGTCATGCCTCCTTCAGATTTTAACTCGAAGTTCAGTGCAGGGCAAGTCAATCAAATCTTGAACTTGCCAGATCTACCCATCTGAACTTTTTCATGAAACCCTAAACCCTAAACCCCAAACCCTAATATGTTCTCCAGTATTTGGAAGTTTCGCGTTTGCCGACCTAGCTCTGTCGAACGCTTTGGGGGCTTCCTCAACACTGATCCTCTCCTCTAGCCACCCCACCGCCCTAATAACACACATATACCATAGTATACCATAAAATACCATAATATACCCAAACATACCACGATATGTTACAATATAGATCTTCTAGTATACTATAATGTACTATTGCCCCACTACATATTGGCATCCTAATATGTTGGTAGTGATTGTTTGTGGAGTGGTGTGGGGGTGGTTTTCCACTTAGCCCTTCCTCTGCCGCCTATCCCCATACCCCAAAAATGTGAGTTTAGGGTTTAGGGTTTAAGGCTAATTCCCATTTTCTTTTCCATTCCTGTACGTGGCCCTATATCACCTCTTTTCGGAGAGTGGGCAGGTGTAATCCTCTCCCCCTAGAATTAAACACGCCCCCCACCCTCCCCCCCCCCGCTCAATATGTTGTACCAAACCACAATGGAAAGTATTTGTTATTAAGGGGGGGCTGGTTGGGGGCCTAAACCCTAAACGCTAGGGGATGGGGGGGTTTTATATGAGGTGGAGGGGATTATGTAACTTACGTGGGCCTCGAAAACACCGCTTTGGATGATGTACCAGCCTCAAACTCCAACTGTTTGCTGGGCTGGGGCTTAGGATAGGGTATTGGGTGTAGGGTATAGGGTTCGGGGTTTAGGGTATAGGATTTAGGGTATAGGGTTTAAGGTTTCGGGTATACGGTATAGGGTTTAGGGTTTAACTGAGGGTCTAGGGTATGGGTCTAGCGTTGAGGATGACAAGCTTGCGTGCTGTTTTAGGTGAATTTGGGGCTCTGCAATTAAAGACACACAGGGATACATAGGGCAGATGTCCAGCCAGTTGCTTGTAACTGCGCCACTGTAACCACTGCAGCTGTAGCGCGCCTGCATTCAGCAGCCAAGACGAACAGTTGATCTCATCACAATCACAAAAGGTGTGAGATCAAGGCACAAAGAACTGTAAATCCTAAACCGTATACCCTAAACTCTGAACCCTAAACTGCGTAGTAACAACGAAGGGTCTGATAATCCGTGATACGCGCAGGTCTGAAGCTTCTATTTCGCAGTTGTGTGAAGAAGTGAGCTTGCTCTTAGTAGTGGAGGATGGACATATTATGCTTGTGTGCGGCAAGAGACATGTTGTGGGTGATTTTGGCTCCTATACCATTGCTGCGTAAGGCTGTCAAAGCCCAGCTTTCCATGCTACAATTGACTAGTAAACAATACTACATGACCCTCAGGCATATGCACCTTGGAAATTATCACATTCTTGTACACTAAGCTTCATGCACTTGTGTGTATCAACCGCTGGAGCTTCTCAACACGTACTTGCAAAAGGTCACTTCTAGGTTCATGCGATGCGAATGTAGAGCTATCAAGTTGCAAATGTAGCAACCTTAGTCATATCGTAGGCATATTCCCCCCGCCCCCCCAAACTACACATGCGGCTGTCCATGCGTAGGGGAGGTTGCTAAGGGGCCCGAAGAGCACCGAACCCCCCGATAAGCCAGGCCCTGGAATTGTCTTCCCTTGTTCCCTAGTAACCACAGTGAGGCCAGTAACTCAGAATTATGTTCCCACCCCTTCTTACTGCCCTTTCTTCAACTAATACAGATCATGAAGTTTTAACTTGGCGTACAGTCTGCGTAGCGGCAGTTAGGGCGGAATTTGGGGGACTTACATCCCTGAACCCTAAACCTTAACAGAAACTGGACTATGCTCATCCTTCAGCACATAGAAGCTAGAGAGTTGCAGTGTAAGCACATATAAGCCCTAGAAAATCCTATAAATCCTGCTACACCTTGTTAAAATGCTAAATAAATCCTGCTTAAACCTTGTATAAAACCCTGTTTAAACCCTATATGCACCCCACTTAAACCCTAAACCCGATTCAAACCCCGTTTATAATCCCTATGTATGAGCCCTGTTTATAAGCACCCCAAAGTGATAGCTTCCAGATCCAGTCCAAGGATCTCCTCCAAAATACAAGGTCTAGGGTATAGGGTTTAGGGTCGAATCCTTGGGGCATGTGAAGGGCTATGGATATTTCTATATACATATACGTTCGTTATTAATAGTATTATCCAACTGTTACAGACTCAGGGCAGTACCCAACGTGTCCTCTAAGTGAGATCCCTGACCCTGCGGCCCAAGAATTGCAGCCCACAAGCCCCATAAACATAAACCCTAAACGCTGAACCCTAACCTAAACTGAACAAAATGGAGCAAGCTCACAAAACAAAGCAAGCTCAAGGGGCAGTCTCCGACTTCATCCTGGGAGAAGATGACCTCTTCCTAACAGGCATGTCGTGTGTCTGTTGTGAGCTGCAGCTCCTCATGGACTTATGTGAGCAGTCATCTAAACTCCTAGTGTCCCCCTTACGAATCCCTCGAATCTTCCCCTGTACAATCCTCTACATAGCCCGTTTTAGGGCTTAGGGAATGCGAGCCGCCTGGTCCATTTGCCACCACCATCACATCACCCGGAACATGAGGTGGACAATCACGACAAGACTGGGCTCTGGACAAGACATCTTAAACTCAGAAACTGAAACTCCTTGCACATCCGCAGATATTCTGCTTACCTGACATATGCTGTAGTAATCCCTGAAAATACCTACTAAACAATCAAGCGTCTGGCTTGGATTGTTGCATCTCGAAGTGGTCCACAACCATCTCCTGCTCTTCCTGAGGTGGAGTTTGTTCTTATGGTTTAAGGCTTGGGAAATAAGGCTTCCCACAGTTGTACGCTTGTATTGTTGAATTAAAGAAAGCTATACAAGGAAATAAGGGGGGATTCTAAAGAAAGAGGAATCCTGGAAACCTGAAGTTTTGAGGATCCACGGTTGGGGATTATGGCAGGATGCTGAGGGCCCCCTTGAGTCCTCATGGAGCTCACATTGAAAACCTCTCGGTTAAGAATTCTAGCACATAAGGCACAGTGGTTGTCTCCTGCAGCGCCCTTGCAGAAGGATTCCGTTGAACACATGTTGGTTTTACAGTGTAGTCTCCTTTTTTATAGTAATAAATCCTATAGTCAATAATTCCTCAGGGTTGTACTATAATGGAAATTGAGAATAATTCCTAAGGAGACAACAGTACATGCATCTTGAAGGGACATGGTGCTCTGAAGCCAGCCATGCTCTGGATTTGAGAACTTGCCGAGGGCTAGAGGCCATGCTCCCTGCAGAAACAGGACCCCAAAAGGGACCACAGTTTCGACGACCTGCTACATCGAGTTGGGTAGAAGCGTCAGAACATCCCTAAACTTTAAACCCTAAACCCCATTGGACCCCTACAATAATCCCGATATTCACTCCCCCACTCCCTATTCCGTCGGAAGTTCACTTACATGTGCACGTCGCGAAGCCTAGCGTTCAGGGCAATCGGGTCCCAACCTGCATTGGACAAAGACTGTCGACTACTATCTGTTCCCTGAAACCTAAGTTCCCTGAAACCTAAGTAACGATGTCTAATATAATCATCCCAAAGCATATGATTCTTGTACACATTGAGATTTAGGGTTTACCTTTACAACTTGCTCCGGAAAGTGAAGTCTGGTACAAAACGAGGTCAGATTGTGCAATACAGCAGTTTCCATAATGCACGCGACCGAATACAGAGACCACGAACCCGGCTGCTTACGGCACGCCATGAGAAATCTGTGAATCAGCTAGGCCTACAAAGTTACAAGCGCTTCTTACTGTGAATGCTAGTTCGTGTATTATTCTGACTTATTCCACTATAGTCCCCCTTAAGTAGATAGAATATGGCTCTGGGTATATCATAGTAAGATCCCCATATACCCCACATTCTATCTACTTAAGGGGGACTAGACTAGTTTGCAGTCATACCACGGTCCGCCGCACATGAGGACCCTTAGTCGGCAATCATGCGGTTGAACCCTAAACCCTAAACCCTCAGCCATGCGTCGTCATCCAGGTTGCCAAAGACAAAGTGCTTCTGCAGAACTTTCAAGATGAATTTCCGGTGCTCTGCACTGACCTTGGGGGCACAGGATTTTCCAAAGCAGACTGGACCGCACAGAAAGAACTACCACGTGGTGTCCTGACCCATAATTCACGCAGATTTTTGGACTTTTGGGCTTCAAGAGCTGCACACCTTAACACAAAGACATTTAGGGGTGGCACAGTGCCTTGAAACCCTTGCTTTCCCACACCTTGGCTAAAAGGTAGGTGAACCCTTTTGGAAACCTCTTTTCAAAGTTAAAATATGGCTTGGGGTATATTATAACAAGATCCCCAGATACCCCATATTCTATCTACTTCAGGGGGACAATATAAGAGTCTCCAGGGATATTGACAAATGTCATTGGTGTACAGTGTATAGGTTGCCTTCTCGATGCTTCCCCACGCAGTGTCAGCTCTCACATGGAGCACCTGTAGCCTACCGCCATCATGACCTGGGGTAGGGCGGGTGGGTGGGACAGGGGCTACGGGCTTACCTTTCAAATATCTGAAACGTCCGGATGGCACTTAGAGAGTTTGCATGGAACCCTCCTACTCCCCTCCCCCTAATAATATCAACCACCACCCCCCCTACTAATACTAAGTACTGGTTTAAACCCTAAAACCTAAACCTTGGGGGGGCGGGGAATTAAAAATGGCGAGACCCTTGAAGTCGAGGGACTGTTTGCCTCGCTGACTTCGGTGCAGCAGCGTCCTACATGAAGCTTACTAGTCGGGGGGGTTAGGTCTATAGGGCTGATATTGGAATACAAAATACAGCAACAAATGGAAATTTGGGTATCATTGGGTAAACTCCTAGTATGCCCCTTAAGGAATTTAGACTATAGCTCATCTGGGGTTTCAGGGTCCAGGGTCGGCTCGCTGGTTGCTAGGAGGGCATGGAAAATGCAATGGAAGAGCATGGAAGGTGAAATGGAAGCTGTGGACTGTACAAGGGTACATTGGGCTTAGGATACCTACGGTTCCTGGTAGGGAATGAAGGAATGGAAACACACGGAAGCTGAGGCTATATAGGCGTTGAATAGGGACTGGTCATTAGTAAGGAGGGGAAGTTGAAATTTAGATGGAAAAGCAAACGGAGAATGACACGGAAGCTCACCCTGCACAGGGATATACAAGGTTTTGTTTTTTTAAGGGCTGAGGCACGGAATGAAGGAATTGAAAAGAACTGAACACTCTCTAGATTTGGGAAGAGGGTTCAGTCTTGGGGTTAGGGCTCAGGAAACGGAAAAAGATAAATGGCAATGACAGCACGAGTGGGGATTATACAGGGCTACCATACGCATCCATTCCTCCATTCCGTCTAGCAGCCAGTCAGAATACCCGCGCACATCCAAGTTCGCCCCTGTTCCCCTACCCCGACCCTAAACCCGAAACCCCCCTACCCCCACCTACCTTCAACCATGAGACCAAGAACTCTCAACCCTGAACTCTTAAACCCTAATGCTCTCTGTCCCTAAACCCTAAACCCTTTCGCAATCGTACCTCGCCCAGTGCCGACCCTACATCCTAAATCTTTGCCGAGGATGGCCCCAGTCCAACTTCAAAGCTCTCCCAAAGAACAAAAAGTCGAATGGACACTGGGATTAGTTACATGAGCTAAACTTTGTGAAGGGGTTCTATACAAAAATTCTGCGGGGGACTATTCTAAGGGGGTAGTAAGGAGGATACTAGGAGTTGTTCCACAATAGCGCATATAGGGGCTAGCACAGCAACTATATATGGCAATACGGAGATTAGGTTTCCCCCCCACACGGCTAAAAGGCAACGCACACCTGAAAAGCCTTACCGGCCCACAGGCCTTTCCGCCGCCGCGAATGACTCGCTGCAACTTGTTGGCTTTTCGACCTCCCAGCGGTTTAGCGCGCAGGGTTGTCTATACATTGAATCATTCTCCCTTACAGTGACTGTCCTTGACAGTACTTTCTTAAGGGTCTATTTTAACTCCTAATACCCATTGTGGTAACTGTTGCTGTAGGGGGGAATTACCCAATGTACGTATGGGGATATATAAGGATCTTACACCAATAATGGGGAATCAAATGGAAAAGGAAATGGAACATGAAACGCAAGCTGCGACTGTATGGAACTTGGCCCAAAAAAACCCTACCAAAATGCGCAAGGAATTTCCCACACACCCTTAGCCCGAGACCATAGATCCCAAAGACCTAAGCCCTTTTAGAACCCTAAACCCTAAACCCCTAAACCCTAAACTCCTACATGCCGTCGGTGGTGTTAATCGAGCCTTGCGCAGGGCCGGCACTAGGATCGCTCCTGAGCCAAAAGAATAGCTTCTGTAGGATTTAGGGTTATGAAAGGATGTATATATATATATATATGTATCAGGGTTTAGGGTTTAGGATTTAGGGTTTAGGATTTAGGGTTATGAAGGGATGTATATATATATATATCAGGGTTTAGGGTTTAGGGTTTATATATATGTATGTATACATAGAGCTTATTTATATGAGAATGATGGAATATTCAATGGAAGCTACCCTATTCTTGCCAGTTTGGGGCTTATGGTTTAAGCCGTAGGATTTAGGGTTGCAAGCCTTAGGCCTTCATGGTAGGTTGTCGCAATTAGAATCATGGCCCCTTCTCGGGTCTCCATCATAAAGCGGCCCTTGGTTAATGCTTTGGGTACCCCAAAAGAGACAATAACCTCCACAGGCCCCGACATTTGCAACGACTACAAGAATCCATTTTCTCACTCCCAATAGAGGCGGCCAAAACAAGTCCCTCATCATAGGCATATGCGATATAGCACTACATATGAGGGTATAGCAAGGAGACCCTGGGTTGGAAACAGCCTAAACCCCTTAACCCAGCATTTTTGCGTTGAATATAAGGCTTCGGTGTTGGGCGCCTGCTTGGCAATAATTGCCACAGTGGGGGTTTCTCTAATCCTGTGCCCTAGATTTTCCGAATTTCTACCATATACCACATACCATGATGGCAACGCTTAGTTGGGGGGGAGGGGTTTGAATATTGAGGGAAAGGATTCTGTTAGCTGTTAGCCAGGCGCAACCCCACTGATTTGGAAGCTGGGCTGGAACACAACTTGCTGATCACTGGGAGCTGTACAGTAAGTTTGACCGTCCCTTCAACCCAAAGCTTCAAGCCGATACAATACAATCATTATTATAGGCTTTTTCCCAACAGGGTGCACCATTTTTTGGAAACCCCCAGCTCTCTGCTTGGCCCAGGGAGGAAAAATGTCAATAAAGCCTAATCCCCAAGTTCCCAAAGCCCTGAACCCAAAGCCCTAAGACCCTTAACCACATGTATATCACACATATGTTCTTTCGATGTATGTATGTATATATATATATATGTAGTAGTAAACATCTCCCTCCATATCTCTATATAACTTTTTTCCAGACAATACCTACTTGCGTGTGTATATTTTTAAAAAACTGGAAAACCTCAACACCACACCACATGCTCTACAGTCCAAACTCCCAGTGTCCCCCTTAGCAACTCCTACCATAGTCCCCTATAAAACCCCCCTTGAAGGAGTTTAGCCACCCTAAACCCTAAACCCTATACCAAAACAACATGCTCCACTTTGAGGAAGCTGGGTCCCTGACACGTCGTGGCCCAAACCAGGTGCCTCGGTTTGCGTAAAGTCAAAGGATCTAGGGTTTAGGGTTTAG